TTCGATACAAGGAGGTGATATTTCAAGCGTTAGAGTGGATGGGAGGCTAGAACACTTATTTATCAGCGTGCAAACTATGCATTTCCTACCAAGTGCAAAACATTAACTGAATTCACTCTATTTAAGGCACGCACCAGATTATTCTTTTGACCAAATCTAAATTTCAATTCCTTAATCTCATTGATGGGGAAGGGGGAGGGGGGGGGTTAAGCCCTTTCCCAGAAAATTTTGATCAATTTAAAATTTCCGTGATGCATTTCGACGCATATCTAAATTTAATTTTGAATCATTTTGCACAAAGTAGGAGAGCAAAATTATTGTAAGTGTCTCTTTACCTTGTGGTTTAGATACAAAAATGATATTTTAAGTTGTTACTAAATTTCTTTGTTGTTAAATAATTTAACAAAGTAATTAACTATTTCTTTCGTAAACACTTAATATTATGAGTCAATTTTAAAATAATATTTCCATGCACAAAGGAGGCCCTCACAAAAAGCAAGGATACTACTGACCATTGTAAAAATTTCCAAGTTATTTCAGATTAAAAAAAAAGAGAAAAAATATTGTTATTTTTAAATGTACTAAATATTGCCATAGTTTAAAAAATATCGTTACTCAATTTTAAAAATTAAACCCAAATTTTCATAGACTATAAATACACTTACCGTACTTGCCAAAAAAATCGAAAAAATAAATTAACTTTTTTTTTTTTTTACATAAAACCTTAATTCCTATTAGAGGCTTTTTATTAATTTTATTTGAATAGTGGTATATCCATAAATGCTTCCTGGTGTGACAATTCACCTGATAATTAATCTTTGGAAGTAGAATATATTTTAAAAGTATGCGTGTTTATGTTATTTAAATAGTATGGTTATGAAGAAATATGCATACACATTTTTACAATCTTATTCCTTATATCAAAAATGCTTTTTCGCGAAAACAATTCCAAAAGTTTGTCAAGATTCTCCTTGTTAATATCATATCGACAAAAGACAAACACAAAATGAACATCCGCTCTGTGAGTAGCCAGAAAGTCAGCCCGTATTGTAAGAGTCGCTAGAGCTTGCGTCAGACTAGAATCTTGAGGACGTAGATGGGAGAACCCAACTGACGACCAGGATTATCTTACTTGGTGAGTCCACAGCCCTGGAACTTCTCGTCAGTGAGGAATTAAAACATGCGTGATAAGCGAGGGGGGGGGGGTGGGATTCACCTGAAGTACACAGTGTCGTTGGAATCTATAGACTTCGCCAATCGCATCACTGGACTGGGTGGTGTTTGAATATGGAAGACAAATAATAAACTCAAAGGGGGGGGGGGGGGGGGGGGGGGTGGGATTCACCTGAAGTACACAGTGTCGTTGGAATCTATAGACTTCGCCAATCGCATCACTGGACTGGGTGGTGTTTGAATATGGAAGACAAATAATAAACTCAAAAAATGCAAAATATTGATCACTTTATTTCGTTACTTTCTTAAGAGGTACCATTGAATAACCCTTTTAAAAAATGTAACTAATTTTAACTGAATAAAACTATTTTAACAAACATTTATACGGTTAAAAAAAAGTTGACTACACGAAATTTGTTTTCTTGCAGACTGTTCAATTTTTTTTATTTTTTTTTTTGCTTAAGAAATACAATTATAGTCATTTAATTGTTTCTAAATATGTATTTATTAGCGCAAGATTTAAACGTGTCATAAATAATCAATTTTTAAGCGTACACATAATACGTCTTTAGCATTACAGTTGCAAAAAAATGGAAAACCCATATTTACAATTTTAAGAAATAAAATGTACGTTTAATTAATAAAACATAGTCGCTAATAGAACAGATGCTTGAGTTTGTTGAAATTTTCTTCAATGTTTCCTCTAGTCTGGACTAAGTCTTGCAACTTGGAACACACTGTCCATGATGAGAGGGTGGGTTTGAAGAATGGAACAACACCCCCCCCCTTTTTAAATAAACATCTCAAGTCAAGCCGACATCATCTCAAGGAAACAAAACATGCTAGAGCCATCTTCGCGTGGGAAAGGTTGAACAAGTGTATACATACAAATATATATCAATTTATATTCACTTATATCTCTGTCTCTTTATAAATGCGTATATTATGTATATGTATGTACAGATGTAGATATTGATAGAGATATACATGTAACTTCATCTTACTCTCTCTTCATTAATGTATGTCAATATATATAATATATATATATATATATATATATATATATATATTTATATATATATATATTTATAAATGATTTACCCATTATATATAAAAGCATTGAAAATGTCTTTGCACCGGATCTCCTAATTGAAATTTGCAACGTAACTAAATAATTTAAGAATACTTTTCGGGCATCACCAGGTGTCCGCAGTCTTTCGTCTTAGTAAAAAAATTGGTATATTTATAAACAGAACTGGAATGAATTAAAAAATTGCAAAGTATGAACAGTAGAAGCGAGCAAAAAGCTTAAACGTCACAGGATGAATCAAAATATGGTCACCTCAAACCTGCGTAATGAGTTATATTGAAAACCAGTAATACAAAAAAATGATAGATCCAAGAATATTTTAGTTGCTACGTTATGCTCCTTTGTATGCAGTTAGATAATCATGCCGTGTCGAATAACGACAAAGGGAAATGATACTATTAAATTTTTAAATATACAAAAAAAAATTAAAAAAAAATAAAAAAAAAATAAAATGACATTTTTCATTGAGAACCACAAAAGAAAATATATTTAAAAGGTTACAAATGCAAGAAACATCTTTGCTAAAACAAAAAATCAAAGGGAACTGTCATCGAAACATACAAATAGGCCGTAAAAATGTGTAGACATAAACACCGATATGCCGATAGTTAGTAAAATTGAACTCGAAGAAAATTATTTTCGTTCACATTCCCCAACTGACATAAACAATAGAAATGTCAAATAAGGCAATCTTTTGAGGAGCAAAATATTCAGAAGAAAATATCGAAGAAATATATTTTTTTTTAAAAAGTAACACATTTTGAAACGTATTAAATGCATGTAAGTTTGCTTCATCTAACGAAACAATCAAAATTAAGTTGTATAATAAAGCGTGAGTTGAGCGGGGAGTTTTAAAATGTCAAACCATAAATAATTGGAAATGAAATTGGAAATAAAGAATTGCATATTGCTAAATAACAATAAATCCCATTCATGTTGAAATGGTTCTTCTCTCTTTATCCCATTAAAGCTCTTACAATGCTGTAAACGTGTTTCTGATCATTGGAAAGAGCGTAGAGCATTAATTATAAATATATGTAAGAATATTTGTTGATGTATACTGATAATGTAACACTGGTGTGCTTTTCGGTGAATTAAAAAAACAAAGCAGCATGAAAAAAAGAAGAAATTAGCATATTGTACAAAGAATTGTTCAATATAATAACCCAATAAACTCTTCTAAAATTACTTTAAAATCATTTGAATTAAGTTGCATCAACTTACGTTTTATGCACATGTAAAGTGTTACTAACATAAGGTTCTACATGTGAAGCGTTAGAATCGAATTTTCATCAACATGTAGAGTGTTATAAATGTAAGTTTCACCCAGTCATTTGATGTTATTGAAATGTTACATTAAGAAATAGCGTCAGCGGGCCGTCAAGCTTGCACTCTTTATGCCCTCCCCAGAACACCCTCCCCAAGCCGGTATCGGGCCGCGGAGCGGTACGTCGGGGACGTCTCTTTGTCAGGACAGCCCCCACCCGAGTCCGCTAGATCAGGTTCCGCTGGGGGCCGTCCTAACACAAAGACACCCGGTCGACCCAACTCTGTGTTTGCACACAGTTCACACGATCGACTTTCTCAAGAGTTGGGATGGTACATTTAAGTTCTAGTACATTTAAGTCCTAAAATCTTCCCCCCACCCATCCAGGGGAAGCAGTGGACGCCCTATAATAAGGATTCTACAGTGTGTTTCCACCACGCAACTAATTTGCGAAGTAGTTGGGACGAAACGGTTGCCTTGGAACAGCTCCTCAAGGCTGCATAGTAAGAATCATCGGCCAGAGGTTACCACCTTCGCCTCTCGCCTCATATCCATTAACAGCAACTTGTAATCATGATCCCTACCCTGTAGCTGCCTTTTCTTCCAGTTGTAAAGCGCCAATACTGGCAGCACTGTAGGTGCTGTTTTATTTACGGCAGGTACCGAGCACGTCCCTTGTCTGCCCACGCAGGACGTGCCCAGTGGTCCTGTTCCCCGGGTAACGTTGGGAGAGTCGGTGGCCGACGTCTCCTAATTGACTAGCCACCAAAGACTTTGACACCCAGCGCCCCGGGGAGGGGGTGTTGGTGTTATTAACATTTTAATTTAGACTTTTCTGTCAATCGCCACGTCTTTGTATAGCGTTACAAAGAATAAGAATTGACAAATTACTAACGGATGTCACCACACATTATAATTTTACAGTATTAGACGACCTGTACTTCACCAAACATTAGTAGCATGTAGTATTAGACGACCAGGGCTTCACCAAAGATTTGTAGCATGCAGTATTAAACGACCAGTACTACACAAAACATTTGTAGCATATATATTAGACGACAAGTACTTCACCAAAATTAGTAACATGCAGTATTAGACGACCATTACTTCACCAAACATGTGTGGCATGTTGTATTAGACGACAAGTACTTCAGCAAACATTAGTAGCATGCAGTAATTAGACGACAAGTACTTCACCAAACATCTGTAGCATGTAGTATTAGTCGACCAGTACTTCACCAAACATTAGTAGCATGTAGTATTAGACGACAAGTACTTACCAAACATTTGTAACATGTAGTATTAGACGACCAGTACTTTACCAAACATTAGTAGCATGTAGTATTAGACGATAAGTACTTCACCAAACATTTGTAGCATGTAGTATTAGACGACCAGTACTTCACCAAACATTAGTAGCATGCAGCATTAGACGAACAGTACTTTACCAAACATTAGTAGCATGCAGCATTAGACGACCAGGACTTCACCAAATGGCCAGTAGTTAAGCAAAGGTCTGGGCTTGCTAGTCTTTTCATACTGAGCAGGATCAAAAACCATCGGAATGTCTATCCAGTGACTGACCGGAAGCAGTGCTGTCCTCGTGTTAAACATCAACATGTCTTTGATCGGTTCAGGAAGTGGTAACATTTTTATTCTTTGTTCTCTCTTAACACCGTTGCCGAGGGCAGAGTTGACGGCAAGGAATGACAGTTTGACCAAAGGCCAGGGTTGAGAAGTTGCGCCAATGACCAAGTCCCGAAGGTCAGGTGAACTGAGATCTAAACCATTTAAGTTATAAACACTAGGGGGACTCCTAACAATGCAGTTTGAATTTAAACAGTTGTTTGCATAGTTCAGCATTTTCAAGTCATCATATGTCATACACACGTTAGCAATAACGTATGTAGCGACATCTATCAAGTTATGTTTCAAAGCTCCTAATAACATAGAAAACTTGGAACAGGAATTAGGAAACGGGACAATACCGTTAGCCAACATTAATCTAAGTATTTCTTTGTTTTTATACAAATTCATTAAACTAAACATCTCTTTCTCAATGGAAGTAAATAAAAATAGTTTTTCTTTGTGTCTAACACTTGGAATTGGGTTGTATTGCAGAAACTGTTTAGTTTTAAGAAACTTTTCAGTCCACAGATTAAAAAATACATTCTCTTGAATGTCAAACTCAAGACATAAAATAAGAGCTGTTCGTCCATTGTTATCTTGAACCTCAAGGTTTGCTCCATGTGAAATGAGATGTTTCAAATATTCATCATTCTGATCGTCTTCAATGGCATAGTGCAAGGCGGTTTTACCAAAAATATCTTGCACATTTAACAAGTCTCTATTGAACAGATTTATTATTAAAGGGTTTGGAAAATGTGAGCTCTGAGAGGCATGCATTAAAGCTGTTTTCCCTTTTTTGTCTTTTACAAACTGTGTATCACATATCATTTCCTTCATAAGATGATTCGGAAGGTCATATTTATGTTTCATGGCATACATTAAAGCTGTTTTCCCTTCATTATCTTGAATGTGCTGTGAATCACTAATCATCTGTTTCATAAGATGATCTGGAAGGTAACATTTATGTTGCATGGCATACATTAAAGCTGTTTTCCCTTCATTATCTTGAATTTGCAGTGAATCACTAATCATCTGTTTTATGAGATGATCTGGAAGGTTACATTTATGTTTCATGGCATACATCAAAGCTGTTTTCCCTATATTATCTCGAATGTGCAGTGATTCACTTATCAACTGTCTTATGAGTTGATCTCGAAGGTTACATTTATGTTTCATGGCATACATTAAAGCTGTTTTCCCTTCATTATCTTGGACTTTACAAGAGTTGCCAATGAGAGGTTGAATACAATCATATGTGCCACTACAGACCTTGCCATTTTCTAATGCTATCATCAAAGCTGTTTTACCTTCCTTATATTGGGTGTTTTGAGTATCTCCTACAAGTAGGTCAGTGATTTTTTCATTTAAATATGTATAATGTGTAAGGGCGTAAATAACAGTTGTGTTTTCTTCATTGTCTCGCATATTTATTTTCCCAAGAAATAATTCATTAATGGTTTTATGTTCAAGATGTCGATTAAACTGAAAAGCATGCATCAGTGCAGTTTTGCCAGATTTGTCTTGAATTAAAGGATTTTCTCCAGTTAAATATTTAATAATTTCCTCAGAAAGATGCAAATGGTATTTAAAAGCATGCATTAAAGCAGTTTTTCCATCTTTGTCTTGAATATTTTGAGAATCACCAATCATCAGTGTGATGATATTACTTGGTATGTCCCTTGCATATATTATGGCATGCATCAGAGCTGTTTTTCCATCTTTGTCTTGAATATTACATGTATCTCCAATTAGAGGTTTTAAATAGTTGCCAGTAAGGTAATTAGAATGGTGTAGTCCTGTGACCTCATTGCTCAGATGATGTGGAGGGTTTCTGATCGCGTCCATCATAATGTTGTTCTCAAACTGATATGGAAAATAACACGAGTTTCTAATATAATAGGGTTTACATTTGTTTAAACGTGCATTAAAGAAGTGTAATGCAATCATTAAAGCTGTTTTGCCTAAATCATATTGTTCTTTTTGAGAATCACCAACCAGTAGAGCGATGATTTCTTCTGTCATACATCGATAGTATTTAATTGCATAAAGAACAGTTGTGTAGCCTTCGTTGTCACGTATATTTACTTTACCCCCAAATAGATATTTTATGTTTGCATAAGTTAAGTGCTGGTTAAATTGTAAAGCATACATCAGTGCAGTTTTGCCAGATTTATCTTGGATGAAAGGATTTTCTCCAGCTAAAAGTTCAATTAAGTCTTCAGAAAGTTGCACATTGTGTATAAACGCATGCATCAAAGCTGTTTTTCCATCATTATCTTGTATATTTTGAGACCTACCTATCACCTTTATGATAAGATTATCTGAAATGACACATTTGCTTATCATGGCATACATCAAAGCAGTTTTTCCTTCTTTGTCTTGTACATGTTGAGAATCACCTATCATCTGCTTGATAAGATTCTCAGGTAAGTCCCTTGTAATTGTTATGGCATACATCAAAGCTGTTTTTCCATCTTTTTCTTGAATATTACATGTATCTCCAATTAGAGGTTTTAAATAGTTGCCAGTAAGGTAGTTAGAATGGTGTAGTCCTGTGACCTCATTGTTCAGATGATGTGGAGGGTTTCTGATCGCGTCCATCATAATGTTGTTCTCAAACTGGTATGGAAAATAACACGAGTTCATAATATAAGAGGGTTTAGATTTTTCTAAATGTGCTTTGAAGAATTGTAATGCAATCATTAAAGCTGTTTTGCCTAAATCATATTGTTCTTTTTGAGAATCACCAACCAGTAGAGCGATGATTTCTTCTGTCATACATCGATAGTATTTAACTGCATAAAGAACAGTTGTGTAGCCTTCGTTGTCACGTATATTTACTTTACCTCCAAATAAATATTTTATATTTGCATAAGTTAAGTGCTGGTTAAATTGTAAAGCATACATCAGTGCAGTTTTGCCAGATTTATCTTGGATGAAAGGTTTTTCTCCAGCTAAAAGTTCAATTAAGTCTTCTGAAAGTTGCACATTGTGTATAAACGCATGCATCAAAGCAGTTTTTCCATCATTATCTTGTATATTTTGAGAAATACCTATCACCTTTATGATAAGATTATCTGAAATGACACATTTGCTTATCATGGCATACATCAAAGCAGTTTTTCCTTCTTTGTCTTGTACATGTTGAGAATCACCTATCATCTGCTTGATGAGATTCTCAGGTAAGACCCTTGTATTTGTAAGGGCATGAATCAAAGCAGTTTTTCCTTCTTTGTCTTGTAGATGTTGAAAATCACCTATAATCTGCTCGATGATATTTTCAGGTAAATCCCTTGTATTTGTAAGGGCATGCATCAAAGCAGTTTTTCCTTCTTTGTCTTGTACATGTTGAGAATCACCTATCATCTGCTTGATGAGATTCTCAGATAAGTCCCTTGTATTTGTAAGGGCATGCATCAAAGCTTTTTTTTCATCATTGTCTTCTACATGTTGAGAATCACCTATCATGTGCTTGATGAGATTCTCAGGTAAGTCCCTTGTATTTGTAAGGGCATGAATCAAAGCAGTTTTTCCTTCTTTGTCTTGTACATGTTGAGAATCACCTATCATCTGCCTGATGAGATTCTCAGGTAAGTCCCTTGTATTTGTAAGGGCATGCATCAAAGCAGTGTTTCCTTCTTTGTCTTGTACGTGTTGAGAATCACCTATCATCTGCTTGATGATATTCTCAGGTAAGTCCCTTGTATTTGTAAGGGCATGCATCAAAGCAGTTTTTCCTTCTTTGTCTTGTACATGTTGAGAATCACCTATCATCTGCTTGATGATATTCTCAGGTAAGTCCCTTGTATTTGTAAGGGCATGCATCAAAGCTTTTTTTTCATCATTGTCTTCTACATGTTTAGAATCACCTATCATGTGCTTGATGAGATTCTCAGGTAAGTCCCTTGTATTTGTAAGGGCATGCATCAAAGCAGTTTTTCCTTCTTTGTCTTGTACATGTTGAGAATCACCTATCATCTGCCTGATGAGATTCTCAGGTAAGTCCCTTGTATTTGTAAGGGCATGCATCAAAGCAGTGTTTCCTTCTTTGTCTTGTACGTGTTGAGAATCACCTATCATCTGCTTGATGATATTCTCAGGTAAGTCCCTTGTATTTGTAAGGGCATGCATCAAAGCAGTTTTTCCTTCTTTGTCTTGTACATGTTGAGAATCACCTATCATCTGCTTGATGATATTCTCAGGTAAGTCCCTTGTATTTGTAAGGGCATGCATCAAAGCAGTTTTTCCTTCTTTGTCTTGTACATGTTGAGAATCACCTATCATTTGCTTGATGCGATTCTCAGGTAAGTCCCTTGTATTTGTAAGGGCATGCATCAAAGCAGTTTTTCCTTCTTTGTCTTGTACATGTTGAGAATCACCTATCATCTGCTTGATGATATTCTCAGGTAAGTCCCTTGTATTTGTAAGGGCATACATCAAAGCTGTTTTTCCTTTTTCTCTTGTATATTAAAATAATCGGAAATAAGTGGTTTTGTATACCTTGCAGCTTGGTTTTTAAAATCTTGCAAGGCAATCATTCAAGCTGTTTTGCCATTTTCATATTGTTCTTTTTGAGTATCACCAACAAGCAGTACAACTATTTATTCTGATATAAAATCGTAATTCTGAATGTCATAAATAAGTGTAGAATTTCCCTCATTGACACGAATATTTACTTGTCCAACAAGCAGGTTTTTTTAAGCTCTTGTAAATTATTTGAAACGCATACTTCAGGAATTACAGTGTTTTAAGCAAATTTTGAGCCGCATTGTTACTTGAGGCCTGTGTCATATAAACCCTTGTATTTTGCTGATAAAACTTGAAATAATTCATTAAAATTGTCCTTCCGTTTTCGCCCCTATAACCAGCATCGTCACACGCACGGAGGTGCGTCAACATAAGCCCCTGTTTTCATGATTGCTTTTACAGTGGGCAGGGCCTCATTGTCTTCGATGGCTTTCGTCAGCACAGTTCTTCCACTGGGGTTAAATCGGTTTAAAAAGTTGCTGAGTACGTTCTTTGTGACGAATCACTTCCGGTCGCCGCACTTTGCTGACGTCATGGGGCTGCTAGTGAGTCAGTGCGCATGGGGCGTGTTTGGCGTCTCGGTCTAGACAATTTACGTCTGATCATTCCGACAGGTCTCTACAGCAATTAAATGTCCAAATTACCTGTGCACAAATGACAGCCATATTTTAGGCGATTAATTGGGACATAACATTTTAGAACGATACAGTAACTTTAACTTTGGCTCAGATCTTAACTTTAATTTTTTCTCATATTCGTCTCTCTTACTTTTTATATCTCTATTTATTGTTTGTGTAGATCTCTTTGATCTACAAATGAAATTATAGAAACATTTTAAAACCATTATTTATTTGCTCTAATTTAAATATTTGTATGATCTTCACCTGAGCACAAGTAGACAATGTAATAGAGCACCAGATTAATGTGTTAAAAGTGTCACCGTTACGCCCAAGCAATTTTTAATTTATAAAAATACACTATGGACACGCATGTTAAAACACTTCACTTAAATCTTACACTTCAGTGATCCCAGCATGCAAATATGTACAACTCTTTTTACTTCCCATACCTCAAACACTAATACTACAAAATTTAGATTACTTTTTAAGCTAAAAATGTAAACTGTATAGAACAGCGGTAAGATACTAGCCTCTTTTGAAGAATAACAAGAAATCATGACAGTGTGGTGTTATCTTTCACACTTCCCACCATTCAGCCTAAGTCCAAACAGAGTGATAGTCTCGACAATTTAGGGTTTAAATGCAAATTTCCACGCGTTAAATTTAGAATCAATAAGTCGTACCAGTGTTCGGGAAATGACGTAGCTTCTTTTCAGAGGTAATTGGGGTTCTCATCTCATCTCATTTTATTTGTGACTCACACTGCCTTTCTTTTTCATTCCATGAAGGCTTTTAAAAAAACGGATGTGTAGAGCTACTCTTATCCCGCCAATGAAGCGGCCATTGGTCCAAACTAATACTGGGACCAACATAGCAAAAGCTTTTCTGCCGAAACAGACGTCGCATCCATAACAGGCTCGTGATCTACTTCATTTGTATAGGTGCGACCCACCACAAGCCAACAGCTTATTCATTGGGATGAGCCCCCTTCCCCCGTAATGGGAAAAATCTTTTTCATTAGGATATGTCGCTTTCCCTCGCAAAGTTCTTTTCATTGTGATGTGCCTCCTACCTCGAAAAGATATCTATTGTGATATGCCTTTAACTGCGAGCAAAGATCTTAATAATTGTGACATGCTCCCCAAACCAAACCCGAACAAAGAAATTATTTATCGTGATTACACCCCCCCCCCCCCCCCCCGCTTTTTGAACGAAGATCTCATTCATGGTAATATGCCCGAATCAGTGCAAAAATCTTATTCACTATGATATGCCCCGAACCTGAGCAAAGAACTTATTCATTGCGATATGCCTTCACACAACCCGAGCAAAGATGTTATTTATTGAGTTATATCCCCACAAAACCAGAGCAGAGATCTTATTCATTGCAATATGCCCCCACGAAATCCGAGCAAAGATCTAATTCATTGGGATATGCCAGCCAACCAACCCAGGAGCAAAGATCTAATTCATTGCAATATGCCCCCACCCAATCCGAACAAAGATCTTACTCATTGGGATATGCCAGCCACCCAACCCAATAGTAAATATCTAATTCATTGCAATTTTGCCCCAACCCACTCCGAGCAAAGATCTTATTCATTGGGATATGCCAGACACCCAACCCAGGAGCAAAGATCTAATTCATTGCACTATGCCCTCCTCCAATCCGAGCAAAGATCTAATTCATTGCAATATACCCCCCTTCCCCAACCCGTGCAAAGTTTGGGCCTATGAAAAAGCCTTAGCCGGAAAATGTATCTTTAGGGATCTAGGGGATTTAATCTCCAACTACTCGAAGTTAAGACGTTAAAAATGTAAGAGTGCATTTTACAAAAAAATAATTCACTGAAATTTAACGCTTTATCATACAAAACTGTGCTACTGTGAATAATATATAACCCTGTTATAGACAAGACTGTAAATTAAATTTGATTTCTAAGTCATAACTCAGCATTATCCTAGCTTGTTATTAACAGTCGGTCTCTGTACAAGATAAATACTCTTACTGGCAGTCATTTCCTTTCGGATTTGGCACATCCATTATTTTTTTCGTATGTAGAAGACTTAAACAAATTAATTAAGCAATCTAGTTCAAGCTTCCTGTTGCTCGAACGAATTTAAAAAATAAAAAAAAAAATAATTATTATTTTTGGTTTCTTAATATATCATAATTTTTTTTAAAAATTTTATGTTCAACTTAAATTTTAAAAACTTTATTTTTTCTCCATTATCATTTATTTGTTCCCCGTACAAATCATACTTAATCCGTGGTTTGCAAGCCTGTTTTGTTTTAGTTAAAATTTCCTATTGAACTCATGTATTACTCATGCATTCAAATTTGTAGTGGCTCTTCTCTATAAAATTGTCTGATGCTATGTAAAAAAGTATATTTTATATATATTTATCAGTATATATATGTATATATAACTATTTAAACCAGGGGATCTAAACTAGTGTCAGGCGATGGGTGAATACCAAACCAATATGTTTGATTTGCATTATATTTACAAAGGATGTTCAGGGTGCATGAAATATTTTGAAAGCAAGAAGGGGTATGCTCAGATTTTTTTTTTTTTAGATTCCCTGCTCTAGGCAGAAGCCTATTTCAGAACCGTTGCCCTACTTGATAAGGAGTCAAGAAAGCAATAGTTGTTTATTACCGTCTTCCCAGTGCTAAAAATAGATTTACACAATTATGTTCCCATGAACGAAACTCTGGGTTTCCCCAGCACTGGGCTTATAATCTCTAATAATCTCTAAACCAGCGTTTCTCAAACTTCTTCGTATTATAAAACCAAATATAAAATTTAAAACTTGCTCTGCATATATATATATATATATATATATATATATATATATCCAAAGAGTTAAATAAATTCCTTTTTAAAAGTGTTTTCGCCTCCTTCCCCTTACATCTTTTTTCAGCCCGATTGTCTACACTTTAGATTTATTTTCCTCTTTGTTATTTAGATAATAAACTCTAAACCAGCGTTTCTCAAACTTCTTCGTATTATAAAAACAAATATAAAATTTAAAACTTGCTCTGCATATATATATATATATATATATATATATATATATATATCCAAAGAGTTAAATAAATTCCTTTTTAAAAGTGTTTTCGCCTCCTTCCCCTTACATCTTTTTTCAGCCCGATTGGCTAAACTTTAGATTTATTTTCCTCTTTGTGATTTAGGGCGTACTTATTTGCCAGATTTTT